GCCGGGCGAAAAGGGGGGATAGCAAAGGGGGGGGGGGGGGGGGGAAAAATCAGCTCACGTAGCTGATTTTCCCGGCGCCTCCCGGCGACGGGAGGCGCCCATGTATCGAGGAATGGGCCCGGCGGCGGGGCCGAAACCAGGTGCATGCAGCAGATGTCGTAACCCCCCCTTCCCAGACCCCCGACGTAATGATTTCTTCATTACGTCGACCCCCAGAGGTCCCGACCCTTTCCCCATGACCGGCTTTGCATCCTGAGTCGTTTTTTGACGCTCCCGAGGCCCGGTGAGGGCCCCAGGAGGCCGAAAATCCGGAAAAACCTCCCGTCGTGATTTCTTCATGACTCGAGGGGGTCTGGGTTCCCCCATCCCCCCCTTTCGCCCGGCCCGATCCTCGGAGAACGGCCAGGATCCTCACGCCCCTGCGGCGACCCCGAACCCACGGACTCACCACACGCTGTGGCCACCGTACGCCGTTCGGGTGCCCCCCCCGCCGACCTCGGCCCCTGCAGGGGCCCCTTCCCGGGCCCCCGGGGCCATCATCAGAGCGGCTCCAGGCCGAGACGCTCCCTGAGGCCCGACGCCGAACAAGAGATGATTGCAGCACCGCCCCAAAAGAAAACACCGCCCGAGCCCCCCCCCCCCCGACCCGGTCTCTCTGCCGCGCGCGCACTTGTTTGTGGCCGGCTCGATCTGTGCGGGCCTTGGGGGCCCGAGACGGGGCCAAAGCGCCCGCGGTGCAATCGGGGGCGGCAAAGAGGGCGGTTGTCCAAGAGGGGGGGGGGGGGGCGAATCATGACCGGCGGCATGTGCGCGGCCCAGCGGGGGGGCCTGGGACGTAATGAAATAAGAAGAGGCGCCATGAAATCCGAGGAAAAGCCATGGCCCGCGCCATGAAATCCCCCCCCCTCGTCATCACCCCCCTCTTTTCCGCCCCCGAAAAGCGCCCGCGGTGCAGGCCAGGAGCTCAGACCCAGTCCCCCGACGTCATGAATTTTTCATGACGTCGACCCCCAGCGGTCTGGACCCATTCCCCAGGACCGGTTTTTCGTCCTGAGTCGTTTTTTGACGCTCCCGAGGGCCGGTAAGGGCCCCCGGAGGCCGAAAATAATGAAAAACCCCCCGTCGTGATTTTGTCATGACTCGAGAGGGGTGGGCGAAGGCCCGGGGCTCGTAGAGGCAGGGCGCCATCAGCCCAGGCTGGGGCCATGGGGAGCGGGCCCCGCCGCCGGCTGCTCCCGTCGCACGCTCTCTTCCTTCCTCCAGGGGCCGTTCGGAGCGGATGTCCTTCCAACCCCACCTTTCTTTGCCCCAGGAGGGGGAGGAGGAGGAGGAGGAGGAGGAGGAGGAGGAGGAGGAGGAGGAGGAGGAGGAGGAGGAGGAGGAGGAGGAGGAGGAGCAGGACCCCGACCCTGTGCCCCCCCGCGCGGGGGCGGCGGCTCGAGCCGGCCCGAAGGCCGGCGGCCCCGCCGCCGGAGGGCGCCCGCGCTCTCGCCGCTCGTCGGGGGGCCGCGCCCGCGGGCCTGTCGGGGGCCTCTCGCCGGGGGAGGCGGTGGGCACCCGGGGCTCGGCAGCTCCCGTTGGCTCCTCCCCAGACCCCCTCGAGTCATGAAAAAATCACGACGGGGGGGCTTTCATGATTTTCGGCCTCCGGGGGCCCTTACCGGCCCTCGGGAGCGTCAAAAAACGACTCAGGACGAAAAACCGGTCCTGGGGAATGGGTCCAGACCGCTGGGGGTCGACGTCATGAAAAATTCATGACGTCGGGGGTCTGGGTCTGGGGCTCTGGGAAGCCAGAGCAGGCCTGCGCATGTAAAACAGGGCTGGGATCGGGATAAGTCGCTCCAGAGCGTTCCGGAGCGCTCTCGGAGCGTTCCGGAACGCTCTGGAGCGGCCGCGGCGCCCAATACATCCTCCAAACCCGCCGATTCTCAGAGATTTCGAGTTATCCCGATCCGATTTTGTCCCGATCTTCGTGTCGTTTTACAGCCAGAGCAGGCCTGCGCACGTAAGACGTGCGCGTGCGGCCGCTGGGCGGGCGCAAGAGGTGCACGCTGGCATCCTGCGGCCTGGTGCTGCGGAGCGTGCCGGAATCCTTCAGAGCGGTGGCGCCTCTTCAAAGAGTCAAAGAGGAAGCCCAGCCCCAGGCCCACTCGCGTCCCGCCGGCCTGCTTTCTGGGCTGGTCGGAGTCGCTTCGTGCTTCTCCCGCAGAGGCTGGGACGCCTCTGCAAGAGGGTGCCTGACGGCGCTGAAGACGTCCCTGTCCGACCGAATCTGACTACCTACCAGACCACCCCAACCCAACCCGAAGATCCGAATTCGACCCGAATTTCGGGTTGGGGGGGGTACGGATCCCATGTGTTCTCTCGATGTTCCCCGACCCCCCCCCACTGGAAATCGAGGAGAAATTTGGGCCTTCGGGTTGGGCTGGGGTGGTTTGGTGGGTGGTGAGAATCTGCTCTCCCAGACCCCCGACGTAATGATTTTTTCATTACGTCGACCCCCAGAGGTCCCGACCCTTTCCCCATGACCGGCTTTGCATCCTGAGTCGTTTTTTGACGCTCCCGAGGCCCGGTGAGGGCCCCCGGAGGCCGAAAATCATGAAAGCCCCCCCGTCGTGATTTTTTCATGACTCGAGGGGGTCTGGGTTTGGTGGGTGGTGAGAATCTGCTCTGGTGGGCGTGCGTTCCTGGCGTGCTTCCGCTCGGCCAGGAGCCTCTGCGGAGCCCCTGCAGGCGGAACCGCGCGTCGCCCCGCTGCGCGGGGGAGCCCGCGGGAGGCTCGGCGCAGCCGGTGACGTTGGCGGACGAAGGATTGCAAAAAAACCCTGGATTGCAAAAAAAAACCCTTCGAAGGATTGCAAAAAAAAACCCTTCGAGGGTTTTTGTTGCAATCCTACGAAGGTTTTTTTGCAATCCTTCGAGGGTTTTTTTGCAATCCTTCGGACTGGGACACGCTTCGCGTGCCGCGCCGAAGCGCGGTGGGCCAGAACCAGCGGCGCGCCACCCTGAGCCCAAACCCCTCACCGCATTTCCCTGTCCTGATCCACCCCATTGGCGCAGCACTGTCGGATCCGAGAGGCCCATATGGGAAAACAGCGCGCCGGGCGCGCTCCCGAATGCGATGCTCGGGCAGAATAGTGAACGCGTGGTCTGTCGAACATCCTGCATCTGAGCCTGCTACCCAGACCCCCGACGTCATGATTTTTTCATGACGTCGACCCCATGCGGTCTGGACCCATTCCCCAGGACCGGTTTTTCATCCTGAGTCGTTTTTTGACGGTCCCGAGGGCCGGTAAGGGCCCCCAGAGGCCGAAAATCATGAAAAACCTCCCGTCGTGATTTTTTCATGACTCGAGGGGGTCTGGGCTGAGCCTGCTACCCAGCCATCCGACCGACTCGTTCCAGCCATGGGCCGTGGGCCCCTGGGAGGTCTCGAGGCCTCCCCGGGCGCAACGCTTCGCCCGACAACGGGGCCGCGGGCGATGCGAACTTGGAGGACAGACCACAAGACCGAAGACATCGCGACGGACGCGGAGGTCTGGGCCTTAGTGGGCCCTGGAAACGACAGGGCTGTTTTTTTACCGGTTCCGACGCCGTTTTTGTTACCGGTTCCGTCGCCGTTCTTTGACCGGTTCCGGCTCCGGTTCCGATCCTGGAGCCATTTCTGTTGCCGTTTCCGGTCGCCGTTTTTTTGCCGTTTCCACTCTCAAGGGACACATTTTTGGAAACGGTGAACACACGGCCCTGCCATTTCCGGAGCCCACTGAGGTCTGGGCACAGTGCGCCCTGCCGCGGGGCAAGAGCACCGACCCCCGCCTCGCCTCCCACGGCCCGTGCCAGGGGGCCCAAATCTTGACGGGCTGGGCCTCCTGGTCCGTCCGGGCGCGGGCACGTAGAGACACCTGGGCCCAGAACGGCCCTGCGGAGGACCCCTCTTGTGAGGGGCAACGATAAGGGGGGAATGGCATAGGGGGGATGCGTCGACCTAGAATCGGCGACACATCGCCGATAGATCGGCGATAGGCCTCCGATCGTGAATCCGCACCTTCCTGGGTAGGTTGAGGCTATCGAGCCCCTATCGGCGATCAATGGGCGATTGGGGGTCGATGCATCCCCCCCTATGCCTATCCCCCCCTATCGTTGCCCCCGATCTTGGAGATCAGCAGGGCCTCTCGGAGGCCCCTTTGGGCCCCGAGGCGGCCTCGGGGGCCCCTCTTTGGGGGCCGCCTCGGGGCGTCCTGTGGTCGCCTCAGGCCAGCGCGAGGGGCGGCCTCGGATGCCGTCTGGGACCGACCTCCTCCTGGGCCGCGCCTGGATGTCGTCCGGGGCCGTTTTCGGAGGCTGCCCTGAGAGCCAACACGAGCCGATGCACCATCAGCCACGGGCAAGCGTCGAGCTGGCAGAGCCGGGCAGAGGTGGGGGACCACCCGCGAGGCAGGGGCAGGGGACTACCCTAGCTCGAACGAAGGAGCACCTGGAACTCGTTTTTTGTTATAATCTTTCGGGTCGCGGTCGCTACCTGGTGGGGGGGACAGGGAACTAACAGTAACGTTCAGGCGGGCTGGAGCACGTCAGGGCGGGGGCGCGCTGCGATCGCCATAGTATGCGCGCGAGAACCGCACCAGCATGTGTGGGGGGTCCAGCCACCCCCCGCTCTTCTACGTGCGATCGGCAGCGTTATCCCAGGGCGGGGGGGGAGGGGGCGGGTAACGACCGCTACGCGCCAGAGGTCACAAAACAAGCGGTGGCGACATCCGAACCTTACCCCCGCCGCCCATCGAGTTGCCTGGACCGTTGGTCGGCAAGGGTCGGCCTCGGATTTCGCCGTCGAAGCAATTTCCTGCTGGGGAGGAGGATGCTGATGATGATGATGATGATGATGAGGAGGAGGAGGAAGAGGAGGAGGAGGAGGAGGAGGAGGAGGAGGAGGAGGACCCCGCCGGATGAAGCGGCAATGGCCGCGTCGGTGGCGGTCGCAGGACGCGGGCGGCGGCGCCCGCCTGCTCCGGGCTGGCGCCCGCACCGGGGCCGAGCAGCTTCTCCATGAAGTCGTCCTGGGCCGGGCGGGTGATGATGATGATGATGATGATGATGATGATGATGATGACGGTGATGGTGATGGTGTTACTGATACCGCTGCTGACGATGATCATGATGGCGATGGAAAAATGCCAATACGGGTGGCGGAATGGTGATGGTGATGGTGATAATGCTGATGATGCTGCTGATTATGATGACAATGATGGCGACACTGATGATGACGATGATGTTGATGGTCATGGTGCTGCTGCTGATGATGGTGGTGACGGTGATGATAATAATGGTAATGATCGTGATGCTGCTGAGGATGGTGACGGCGATGCTGATGATGATGATGATGATGATGATGATGATGATGATGATGGCGATGCTGATGATGCTGATGATGAGCATGATGATGGTCAGGAATATATTGATGGTGATAGCGATGACGAGTGTGATTATGGTGATGGATATGATGAGGGTGATTGGGATGGTGATGATGGTGATGAGGATGATGGTGATGTTGGTGATGCTGATGACGACGATTCTTTCCACGGCGGCAGTGGCTTTGAAGAGTGTCAGTGACGACACAAACCCGCGAATGACGTGAGGCCCCCGCCTCATGTCAGACAGGGGAAATCAGGAGCAAACTGCAGCATATGGCAATCGCCAACAACGGCAGCCCCACTGGAACCACACGGCGAAAAGAGCAGGCTGCGAGGTCTGCCGGCGACGCAGGGGTCCGTCCTGGAAATGTCGGCGCGGGCGGTGGGGCAGCGTTCTCGGCGGCGCGCAAGGCAAGGCTCGCCTTCGCGGCAAGATCTCCCCAGACCCTCCCGCGCTGTGGACAGATTGGCCCTGTGCCCCGGATAATAATCACTCAGGAATAATAAAGTTCGGGGTCTGGCGGGGATAATCAACGATTTCCCCGTGGGCCCCTCGAAGAGGCTCGAAATCTTGGAGTCTCGGGAACTCAGAAAAAGCTCGGGCCTGGGCAGCTGCGGGGGTAGAGGAGGAGGAGGAGGAGGAGGAGGAGGAGGAGGAGGAGGAGGAGAAGGAGAAGGAGGAGGAAGAGGAGGAGGAGGAGGAGGAGGAGGAAGGGCCACGAACCGTGTGAGGGATGCGCTTAACAAGTAACTCCAATGCTGTGCCTGCTCGAAACACGCATTTTAAATCAAAATCCAATCGGTCCCCATGGCCCTGCCACACGTTCCTGACTCGGGAACGGATGAGAAAGTGAAAATTCCGAGGGCCCTAGCGCACGTTCGCGACTGGGGCACACTGAACTGATGAGAATCCCACAGCCCTGCCACACGCTCGTGATTGCGGAAGCTGATATGGTGAGACCACCATGGCCATGCTCAGCGTTTTTGATGCTGTTGCTAGTCAACATTCGATGATCGTAATTTCAATTCGCAACTTCCCCCGTGGATTATCAAGTTCGGCCTCCGCGCCCCTCTCCACAATTAAATCCTATTGAACCGCGATAAAACAATAGAGGGCGGAAAGGGAGGTGATGATATATTATCCGGGGCACGGGGTTAAGGCGGACAGCGACGGCCGGCCCCCGCGTTTGAGCTCCAGGGGCCCGTGCCAGGCCCCTGGGCCGTCCACAAGCGCCAAGGGATGACTAGCAATGAAGGGACCCCTAACCCTTTCGAAGCGGACCTCAGTTCAGAGGCAAAAAACATATAGGGAATCTCTGTTAAGCAGGCGTGTCAAACCAAGTCACAGCGATTGATTGCCCCTGAGGCAGCGACGGAGACCAAAGTTGGGCAGCGACGGAGATCAATGACGGGCTGGGTCAGGACCTCCAGAGGTTCAGAAAGCACGACGTCGGAGGTCTGGGCCAGCGAGCGGCTCTCCGACCACGGCCCCGTGCGGCGCCCGAGGGGGGGTCAGGAGCCGGGCCTCTGCTCTTCGGGCATGCTGGACACGCGCCAGGCCGCGGCAAGCCACACGACCTCCTCATGACCGGCGCAGCCTTCGGTGGCAACTCCCGGGAGGCCCCCTCATCATCTTGTTAGCTTTTGCGTATCGGCGCTAATCGACGCTCGGCGATGCGAATCGACGCAAAATAAAAGCTAGATCGACGCTGATCAAAGCTATGTCGGCGCCATCTCATTGACCAGCAGACGCTACTCGACGCTAGTGCGCTCGAGAAACGAAATTGCGATGGTACACAAAGCTCCCATGATTTGAAACCGAACCCATCGGCGCACCATCTATCGGGATCGCCACGTGGTGTAGGATTGCGTTGGAAATGACCAGCTTGCTTTGTCAAACTCTGCTGCATGATTTGTAGTTTCCTGTTGACAAAAACGGAATCCAACCAGCCCTTAGGGCGCAGGTGGTTTAGAACGTTTCCTCTTCCAACCCCGTTTGTTTCCCTCCAGGGAGGTGTTTATCATTGTTCCCTGTAAACAAATCCCCCCTCCCCCAGGCAAGCGGCAGCCAACCCGGACCAATAACCCCCCCCCACCACCATCCCTTGTATAGCACTCTACGCAGTGCACTTTGTTTTCAAATTTGGTGCATGCGCCGGCGCCCCGCGGCTACTTTGTTTGCACTGGTTAAGCAAGAGACGGCGGGGAAGCGACATATTGCTGGCTGCGAGCAGGCCGTCAAAACAACTATGCAAATTACACCAGAGGTACCCCCCAATCAGTGGACGGTTTTGAAATTAGTGTTATGAATATTGAGATCGATTGCGGGGTCGACTGTGAGATCGATTGTGGGATCGATAGTGAGGACAATCGTAAAGTCGATCGTGACACCGATAGTGAGTCGCTACGATGAGATCGACAGTAAGGTCGATAATGAAATCGATTGTGATATAGATAGCGGGGCCGATCGCGGGGAGGGTAATGAAATTGATAGTGAAACCGATCGATAAGGAGATCGACCAAGAACCCAGGAATTCGGAAACCCCGGAACCCCCGCCGCCCACCGACATCGGCCCAGAACCAACAACGAGAAACCCGGGGAACCCAGAACCGGGAACCCGGGAACCCCGCGATCGGGAATGCGGATATCGGGAACCCAAGAACCAAGAACCCAAAACCGGGAAGCCGGGAACCCGGAAACGGGAACCCAGCAACCCAGCGGCCAACCGAAAGCGGCCTCCTTCTTCCGCCAAGTCTTTCAAGATCCGCTAGGACCCCTTCAGTGCAAGCACTGATTGGGAAACTACACGTGGCTCCAAATCCGGAGCGTGCGCAGGGCCCTCCTTGAGGGTCCAATCTCCTCTTATTAGATGCATACGCTAGAGAAGGGATGCAGGCGTACCTCCTCTAATTAGCTGCGTGCGCTAATTATAAAAAAGAGGTTCCCCGTGCCAACTGCTTAGCGATCCAGCGATTTCGATGTTGCTTCTATGTTGATGTCACGTTAATTTGTGTTGGCTCTACGCTGAATTTATGTTGTTTTATGTTGATGTTATATTGGTTTCATGTTGACCCGATAATGTTAAACCCCTTGCCCCCCTCCTCCTCTTCCTCGTCCCCCCCGCGGCGCCCCCTGCACAGGAGACGTCGCCCCCTCAAGCTTCTTCATTCTCAGCGGGCGCAAAAACAAGCGAAATAGGGGGGGCGCGGCCCCCGATTCTGGGTTCCGCGGGCTGGCGCGCGGCGGCCCGCTCAATGAAGGCGTCGCCGCTGGTTCGCGTAAGCGCCCCTGCAGCCGTCCTTCGCGCCGAAGCGAGCCTCCGCCATGATCGCGAGACGCTCGTCGATCTTTTCCTCGACCACATCACCGTTCCACCGCAGGATTTGAGGAGTGAGGGCGCAGCGGAACGTGCTGACGCAGTTCTGGCAGCATGCGTACAACCACGATCCGCCGCCCAGCTGTTTCACCCAGCGCCAGGACGCGCTGTCGGGAGACAGGCTGCCGCAGACCGAGCAGCGAGCGTCCACGGCCATTGTCATATAATGAATTCTGAACTCGATGATTATGGGAAGAGAGTCGCGCCAACATTACCCTGTGACGTACCCAACCCATTTGTATCAATGGAAACGAAGGGTTGGCCGAAACTTGCATGGACAATCAACTTGATGTGTAAGCTACTTGGGACACGCGCCAATGGCATGGTGCGCAGGAGAACCATGCAAGAGCGAGGGGCGACAACTACAGGCTCGAAGAGGACATGGGGAGTCGGGAACGCAGAGCAGGAGAAAAACGCGCGGGAAGCCGAACCATCAGCACAGCAGCAGCAGAGGGAAGGTGACTGCAGGAGGAGAACAAGGACGAACGCGGCGTCTAATTTGAGTCTGCGGTGGGTACCCACTGTGCTGCGCCCCTCAGCAGCCCTCGAACGTGGCGACAGTTTCAAAGATCGCAGCCCCCCAGGGATGGCGAGGTCGAATTTGAATCTGCGGTGGGTACCCACTGTGCTGTGCCCCCCAGCAGCCCTCGAAAGTGGCGACGGTTTCACAGATCGCAGCCCCCCAGGGATGGCGAGGTCTAATTTGAATATGCGGTGGGTCCCCACTGTGCTGGGTCCCTCAGCAGCCCTCGAACGTGGCGACGGTTTCACAGATCGCAGCCCCCCAGGGATGGCGAGGTCTAGTATGAGTCCCCGTAAGACGTCACTCCGCTGCCCCCCCCCCCCCCCCCCCCCCCAGCAGCCCTCGAAAGTGGCGACAGTTTCACAGATCGCAGCCCCCCAGCGATGGCGAGGTCCAATCTGAATCCCCGTGGTGCCTCACTCCGCTGGACCCTCCAGCAGCCCCCGAAAGTGGCGACACTTTCACATATCGCAGCCCCCACAGATGGCGAGGTCCAATCTGAGTCCCCGTGGTGCCTCACTCCGCTGGACCCACCAGCAGCCCTCGAAAGTGGCGACAGTTTCACAGATCGCAGCCCCCCAGAGATGGCGAGGTCTACTCTGAGTCCCCGTGGTGCCTCACCCCGCTGGACCCTCCAGCAGCCCTCGAAAGTGGCGGCACTTTCAAAGATCGCAGCCACCCCCAGAGATGGCGAAGTCCAATCTGAGTCCCCGTGGTGCCTCACCCCGCTGGACCCACCAGCAGCC